TTGAAGACGGTCCAGATACTTCAATTGGTTCAAAATAGAGCTGCCAGGCTGCTGACGGGGACTGGACATTATGTTCACATGACTCCAGTTCTCCGTCAGCTTCACTGGCTTCCCATTGAAGTCCGGGCCCAATTCAAGGTGTTGGTGATGACCTATAAAGCCCTAAACAGCTTGGGTCCTGGTTACCTGAAGGAGCGCTTACATCCATATATGCCCAGCCACCCCCTGAGATCTGCGGGAGAGGCCCTTCTCTGGGAGCCCTCCGTGAAAGAAGTTAGGAGGGTATGTACTCGGAGGAGGGCTTTCTCTGCGGTGGTGCCTAAGTTATGGAATGCGCTCCCCAGAGAGGTCCGCCTGGCGCCGTCGTTATTTGCTTTTCGGCGCCAGGCGAAGACCTTTTTATTCAAGCAGCATTTTAAATGATAATATTATTGAATTTTATCGGGCCAGGGCGGCTTATTTTATATTGTATATTTGTATCTTATTTGAATGTATATATTTTAAAATGTTATTTTTGATGTTTTAATTTATTGTTGAAAGCCGCCCCGAGGCTTCGGAGAATGGGGCAGCATAAAAATGTTTTAATAAATAAAATAAATAATAAATAAATATGTACATGAAAGAAGGACTTTAGAAAGTACATGCAGTTGTCATTCCCCTAACCCTGCCCTGAAAGAGTAGAATTCTTCTCAAGTTTTATAAATTCTCAAGTTTCTATGAGAATTTACAAAAAAGAAAAAAAGTGCATGCAGGACAAAAAGAATTGAGATTTTTTAAAAAAAGATGTGGAAGAAACAAAAACTGACAATGTATTTATGAAAAACCAAGGCTTTGAGTGCTTTCCTCTTAAGAGTCTAGATTTGAAACTCTGTATATTTATCCATGTTAGTGCTGAAGTATGCAAAGCAACGTTTATTATATCTTAGCAATTTTTCATTATATATCTACTTCTAAACCCTTGTAAGTTCAATTCTTTACATCCTGTGAAATTTATTGTGGACATCTGTAAAGCATTGACAAGAAATTTAGATGTTCTAAAAGATACATATTTGTCAGCATTGGACAACAAGAAACAAACTTTTACAAAAGATGGCATTTTCTTCAATAAACAATGTATTGCTATATCTAGTTCTAAGATTATTACAGAAGATTCTGCAAGTGCATAAACAAAATCCTCCACTCATATGAAATTACAACCACATATTCTGTCCTTCTTAGGAAGCCCTTTATGCTGACCCACCCAAACTGCCAAAGGAAGAACATTTAATCTTGCCCTGGTAAGGGCTACCTTCATTTCTGTATTTGGCAAGTTTACCACATATTTCGGGAGAGAAAGAGATGAAGGACTAAAGGAGGCACAAAAGCTGTTAGAAGGGTAGGCCTTAATTCCAGCCTCTTCAGGTTGCATCACAGTATCTTTAAGCCTTTGAAGCACTACTGCTTAGCTCTATCATACCCTGGATCTAGAAGGAAGGAGATAGGAGCTCATGATGGCCAGTTGTATTTTTTTTACTTTCATGGGTTTGGGCCCATCTCTTCAAATGATTCCAGAATGGATTTTGAGAAATCTTCAATTTCTTTTTTTTTAACCAAAGCATCAGGACTAATTTAAGAACTGCAGCCTTAATAGTCGTTATACTGGGTTATGCCTTGATCCAATATAATTTTGTGCACTGCCAAAAGTCTGTACAGAAATTTATTTTCAGCTCATTTGGAGACATTTAAAGGTGAGAAATACTTTATTGGATCAGACCAAAGTTCCATGTAGTCCAAACAGTGAGGGAGCCATATATATTTAGGAACTAAACAGTGAAGCATGTCCTGGTCTTGATTGCTCTAACACCATCTTGCATACCTTAACATGGTGAGGATGTTTGAGAGTGCCAGAAAAGCCAAGAGCAATGCTGCCAGGAGGCTAGAGGCTGATCTTCTAGCAGGGTCACACAAGGTGGAATGGTCAAGGCTGAGATGCCAAATTAAGATGCATGCATTGTTTTAAAGAGTGTTGGTCAAGCAGCAGAAGAGAATGGATATTTCTAATGATGATGGGGCAGAAAAACTCCTTAAGGGAAGCTACTGAGTAGCAGTGGTAATTGAAGAAAATATTGGTGGAGGATCATTCATCCACAACAGCAGAGCTAATCTAACTCTGTGCAGAAGGTTGGCATTGGCACAGCATTTCTGAATAGCTCTTACCTTGAAGACTCTATGATAAAGCATTTAAAGCAAGATAACATTTTGATATCCAAAATGTAAGGCACTCAACCAGCTACTGGGAAAGAGCAAAGGATAAGCATAAATAGCACTGTTGCTAATGTCACAACTAGATCAAAACTGAAAGATAGGCTAGGTTGACATGCACAGAGGCAAAAGGAAAGTCCAAACCTGCGCAACACATAAATTTTGAACATGGAACATGAGAAGTATAAATCAAGGCAAACTGGAAACTATAAGATGCTATGGATGGAAACAGGTCGTGGATTAAAGAAAGGGGTGTGCCTCAGCATTGATTGTCCTGATGCGTTACCTGTATTGTGGACTAGAAGCTACTGTTTGGCAGAATATGGAGAAACAGGTCCACTTCCAATAGGCAAAGGAAATTGAATTAGGATCAGAGGAATAAGTGACCATTGGCAGGAGACACGTCAATAATTTAAGATATGCAAATATTACCATATTGCTGGCAGAATGGAGCAATGAATTGAAAGGAGTCTTGATGAGAGTGAAAGAAGAAAGTGTAAAAGTTATACAGCAGCTGAACAGTAAGAAAATAAAATCCACAACAATCAAAGAATTGCACAGGGCAAGGCAAGACCTACTGAAGAAGATAATAATGGCAGGAAAGTAGAAAGCAGAAGCAGAAGACGACCAGCTATGAAATGGATAGATTCCATCAAGGAAGCAACAACCTTAAATTAACAAGAGGTGAGCAGGTCTGTGAATGACAGGACAATTTGCCCAGCAGTCATTACTTGGTGACATATACCAACAACAAAGTCGCTCTAGTTGCAGTGGTTTGTTTGTTCTAACCCTATAGGACAGCCTAGAATCCAACAATGGATTTATAGATGTACCGCTGAAATAAAATGCCCCATCGCAGATTCCTGGATGGTTGTAAGATAGAAAACACAGTGAGAGATGCATAGCCTGTTGAGATGGAGGGGCTGCAAATACGCTTAGCAGCAAATAAGGAAAGCCTCTGAAGTACCCTACATAAACTATTACGCAAGTAAGTCTAATACAATACATATTTTTGCCCTATCTATCCTCAGATTACTTCACTAATAGCTCCAGTGGTAAGCATGCCATTGTCTCAATTAAGCTCACCAATACATTATTTTCTTACCTGCCTCCTGAGATATCTACCACATGCAGTTACTATTTATGTTATTAAAACTCACCAACTCACTGTCTTTTTGTTTCTCACTAGGTGGTGACTCCAGAAATGCGTGGGAAAGTCAAAGGCAAATGGGGACTGCTGCGACATGTTCAGTCTGCTTTCCAAAGACAATCCTGAACTACAAACCAACCTGCAATTTTTCAAAGAGAAGCACAGAAGTAAGCCACTGGAGGAAAAGCTATTATATTTTCTCATATTCCTTTTCTTTTTTAACTAAAGCTAACTTGCAAGCTGAGATCTGAGTATAAACCCTTCAGAATAAAGATCTCCAGCAAATTAAAGTTTCAGCCCTTGTTTTTTATTATATTTGTTCTGGCCACTCCACAGAAACCAGAGGAAAACACTGAACTATACATGAAATACCTAATGAAAAATCCCCAAAGTCAACTCTGTGGTGTAGCAACCTTTCAAAGGAATCAACACAGATGTTTTCACTGTTGGGATATGTTATATACATAGTGTTTTCTACATGCCCCTGTGATATGTTTCATTTCAATTGTATGTATGCCATGAGAATTACCTTTCAAGACACATGGGGAGCAACCTAGGGGCCACAGGCCGTGCTCTGACCTTGTTGTAGGGAATCAGTGAAGTGTTCCCCCCTCTCTCACCTTTGCAGTCAGTGTGGAAATAATTGCACTGGCTTGTTTGTCCATCCCTATTTTTCATTCATTTGAATGAAAACTGCATTGCAATGTGCAGAAACATGAAATCTTGGGGACAGTGAGGCTCCTATCCACACAATCCAGGATTCTGAAGATCAGGTTAGTTAATATTAGAATCTGCAAATGTCTCTAGTTGAGCATGGGTGGACTAATACTGTGTAGGGGATGGGGCATGCACAGAAACCCGCACATTTGTGTGCTCATGGGCTTCTGTTTAGACCATTTCTAAACATAGAAACAGAGCGAGTCAGAAGGGGTCTCCCGGGCCATCTAGTCTGACCTCCGGCACCAGCCGGCTCCACTCACGACATGCCCACCATGTGCACATCCAGTCTATCCTTGAACACCCGCACCAATGTGGCCTCAGCAACCTCTATAGAAAGATGTGAAGATGTGTCAAGGGTTTCTAAGCCCATTGAAATGTTTTGAACCCTGGAAATGGCTGGAAATGTTTTGAACCCTGATGGATGGGAGATTTAGAAAATTAAATGTGGGAGACAATACACCGTCAGGCAGAGTCATAAAGACTAGATTTCAGCTACCTGTTTATTCATCCATGTTTGTCATGATGGATTAAGACTGCACCTCCTTTTTAAGGTAGGGTCCCTACTGTTAATATGAGGTGGGAGGCAGGTGCAACGCAATCTCCTCCATGGCCATACCTGCTGCTGCTGCTGCTCTCACTGTTACTATCATTATTTCATTTCTATACCACCCAGTAACTGATGTTCTCTCAGAGGTTTACCGCAGTGCATAAAACAGGCAATATAATAAAGCACTGTAGAGAGTGGGCCCAGCTCTTACACATTACAGGCTGCTGAGACAGATGTGTCTGATTCTGAGAAGGCGACGAAGGGGCAGACCTGAGCAGATGACTTGGCACGTTCAGGGTTACCTGGTGAAGACATGCAGGCAGAGAACAAGAACCAGCCTGCCTTGGAAAAGGACATTTCATAGATGGGTGGGGAGGAGATTGAGGGGTATTTCTTGACCATGTGAAAGACGAGGCAAAGTGAGCAGAGCAATTCTGACTGGTGTTCCTGCCGTCCAGTCCTCAAGCAGCAGGGGCCAACCTGAGGGCAGAGTCAGAATCTTTCTGTAAAGGAGGGAGGAAGTGCTTTTTTCAGTCAGGATGCAACTCTGCACATGGGCAGATGTTCTCTCACACCTCAAAGACAATTTTACATTCATTTATGCTGTTCTATAATTTGTTCAGCTCCAATAAAGGGCTGCAGCTTCTAAGGGCTTATGTAAGCATGCTGGAGAGGAAAAGAGAGTGGGGAAGACCTGCTCATAAGTACCATGTAATTTCCCAAAATACAAACATTTAAAAGCAAGCTAAAACCAACTAAAACAACATAAGATTCAGGATAGCTTTCTAAAACACCCAGCATGGGAAGTCTGCTTAAGCCTTGAAATATCCTCGCATGTCTTTGAATGCCACAGAAATGGGGCCATCTTAACCTGGTATCAATATTACAAAGAACTGCTGAAAATAGTGATTCCCACTGAATATGATTGATACTAATGGGTGAGAATTTTGCAAAGTTTCCTTTTTTAATTAGAAGTACTCAAAGCTCACAGATTTATTCATACCTGGAATGGAAAGAGCTTGAGGGTTTTTTTTAAAAACATTTGTCTGAATGTGGGAGAAAGTGAAACCAAGAGACTTATTCACCTGTATCCATACTGAGATGTGAGCTGATATGATAACAGCTGATGCTGAAAGGAACTCCCATAACTTTGCTGTCCACCCAGCAGATCAACCTTCTCAGTAACTTCCATCTGCTGGCATTTCCTATAAATTCTTCCACTAATAGCTGGGGAACGTAAACATCTCCATCCACCTATAGCCTTAATTTTCTGAAGAATGCCTCTTTTCACATTAGACTGCCTTCAGTTCATCTGTCCTATCCCCACCTTGCTCTGTTTTCTTCAAAAATTAAAATGAAATGAAAAAATGTGTTAAATACCTCACACACAGTTCAGCAAACTGTCTTCTGTAAGCACAGATAAATCCCATGGCGATTGGTTGTCTATCACCCAATTTATTGCACTCTTTTCCTCAATAAGCAGTCACAGCAAAGAATGGGACAATTTTTCTTATCGGTTGCTAGCTTCTCAGGTTCAGTGGGGCTGTTTGCGCAGTCTCATTGCTGGTGCATATGCTTTTCCTTTTTGTTGCATACTATGAAATTGAAATTTTGAGCTGTTTATAAATAAATAAAACACAGAGTAAGATATTTGCATAATTACTTTTCAAGGTAATGAGTGAGACAAGAGGCCAAAACACAGGCATTGACTATCTCCCTAGCAGTCTGTGCTGCTAAATAAACACACCACACATGTAAGTACTGAGCTGTAGGGCAGTCTGAGAAACACGTAATTTATTTAGGGGACAATGAGCAATCTATTTGAGTTAGATGCCACACCAAAGGGAACACATGACAGACATAGGTAATTGAATATTAGATGAAGCATTATTGCAATTCAGGCATGTTTGTCTCCTGGAATCTATAGCCAGCCGTTTCATTAAGGAAGGTCTCAGTGTATAACAAAGGAGTTTATCATATCAGATGCACTCCAAAGATGTGAGCTTATTGGTCTGAACAGTAGGCCCAAATGAAGCAATCCCATTTGAATGGAAGCAATCAAGCATTTTATGAAATGTTCAGGCAGTCATTCACACAAGAGTTCTTTAGAGATAATAACTTTGATTCATTTGACCCAAAGCGACTGAATTTAGTTATCTCCTTTTGCCATTTTCTCTCATGACTGGAATCCTTGGGTGGGTTTTTTTTGGGGGGGGGGGGTTGGAGCTTATGCTCTCATTTTAAGTTATGTGTTCATCTTCCTTGCAAAAAGGATATAGTTCACTTATCTCTAAATGAGAGGGAAGCACAGCTTCCCACTTCGGGCATTGCACTGAAAACATGAAAAGAGAACATGCAAATAGCACACTCTTACTAGTCTCAGACCTCATTTGCTGTAGCATGAAGTCACTTTCACAGTCTTAAATGCATTTTCTATAAAGTATGCCACATTAAGCTTAGGAGAACTTGCTTCTGTGTAGACATGCTTAAAGCTGTCTGAAAGTCCTTGAGTTTTCATGGACCTGCTTCTCTATAGCACTGTACCAATTCATGTACGATTGTTTCATTTTCAGCTGTGAAAAAAAAACAAATACACAAAACTAGCATCTTGTCTCAATGAGCCTAGAAGTAAGCCCCATTAAACACAATGGAATCTACATCTGACATGTATAGCAGAGATGCTGAACTTCTAGCAGCTGGTCTAAACAGGTTGCCATTCTGATCCACGCGGCTCCTGGATTCCAACAGGTAGAGGGTCTGGAGGTCAAGCCCTGTGCCTCAGGGAATCCCAGGTGTTATCTTTAACAGAAATATCTGGTCAGAAGTCATAGTTCTGGATTTGACCAGCACTTGGAGGAGTTAATTAGTTAATGTTTAGGGTCAGCACTGTCTACGTGGGGTGGGAAATCTTTCTTAGAATGCCACATTTGCCAGAGATAAACACTGAGGAGCCAAAATGGTGAAAGGCACCCTCTTTTTTTCTTTTCCTGTCCCCTTCTTCTCCTCCTGACACTCTTTTTAATTTTTTTATTAACCATCATTAGTATTAATTCAAATGGAAGAAAGGGTAGACTTTGAACAGGAAACCAAAGAGAGGGGCATCATATGACACGGAAGGGGAGGAAGGGCAGCCCACATACCTGAGGCTCACTTAGTAGACCAGCCTCTACATCAGTAGCAGGCTATTGCCAAAAGTGATATCAGAGGTATTAATGTTCTCAAATTAGACCATCTCTAGACAGCTGTTGTGTATTAGCACTAAAGAAGGAACTGAGCTAGCGACTTAGATGCATCTGAATGAACTAAAAATATGAAGTTGTTTCTGAAATATTAAAAAATATAATTCCTTGAAAACTAAGTGGTGTCCTCCTGAGAATATTCAATGTGTATCACAGAGAATCAGTGCTCATTTTTCCAGACTTCAGTGAGCTTTCTTCAGAAAGAAAGCCATACTCAGGAACCAAATAAAGAATCATTGGTTGCAATCAGGTATTCAAGAGAAAGTGTAGTGCAGTTTCCTATTCTTAAGGGATATATAAACTTTAAAAAGTTGTGTTCTGGATGTATCTTTGCCACAATCCTAAAACTACTTATTCCTTAGCCCCTGATTATATGTGGTTTTAGAGTGAATTATTTACCAGTTCCTTCTGCTATGAACTGGGCATACTAAATAGGAGGATATTCCTTGAGTTCATTATACTCAAGAAATGCAAGTACACATTCAGGAGATTATTATTCACAACCACAAATCCCTTAGAATTTATACACTCTATGTTGGTTGCTATTTTGAAAGAAAAATAAGTGAACTGCATTAAAATGATTGATGAGTTTGCTAGGGGAGCCAGAGACAAACAGGATT